AGTCCTTGCAAACATTGGTAAAACAAGGACTGTTGAAAGATGTCAAAGTGTGCAAATTAGACTTTTGTGAGCACTGTGTTTTGGGAAAGCAGAAAAGAGTGAAGTTTGGAACGGCTATCCATAATACCGAAGGTGTCTTGGATTATGTTCATTCGGATGTTTGGGGACCTTCTAAGACCCCATCATTAGGCGGAAGGCGCTATTTTGTCACTTTCATCGATGACTTTTCCAGACGTGTTTGGGTGTACACTATGAAGACGAAGGATGAAGTGCTTGGTATCTTCATTACATGGAAGACACAAATTGAGAATCAGACTGGAAGGAAGATCAAGGTCCTACAAACGGACAATGGTGGAGAATATACAAGCGATCCCTTTCAAGTGGTTTGTCGTAAAAATGGCATTGTTAGGCACTTCACCGTTAGACGGACACCACAACAAAATGGGGCGGCGGAGCGCATGAATCGAACATTGGTGGAGAAAGTTCGATGTATGTTGTCCAATGCTGGTTTGGGCAAGGAGTACTGGGCTGAGGCTGTAACATACGCGCAACACCTCATAAATCGTTTGCCGTCATTTGCAAAAGATGGTAAAACACCGTTGGAGGTTTGGTCGGGAAAACCTGTTGCTGACTATGGATCTTTACATGTTTTTGGGTGTCCTACGTTCTATCATGTGAAGGATTCAAAGTTAGATCCAAGAGCGAAAAAGGCTTTGTTCATGGGAATCACAATTGGCGTGAAGGGATATCGTTTTTTGTGTCTTGAGACGAAGAAAACTGTGTTTAGCAGGGATGTTACATTCAATGAACAAAGTATGATGAAGACGATGCAAACCCAACAGGTGGAGTTGACACCGAAGCAGGTGGAGATAGATGCGATGACGAGACAACCAGCTATGATCGACGAAACAATATCAAACGATTCGTCGGATGATGAAGTTCAGACTCATGAATCATTAGATTTACCCATTGCATTGAGAAAGCCTAGACGAGAGATTCAACAACCTGCTCGATTGGCGGATATGGTGGCTTATGCACTTCCAATTGTTGATGATGACATACCTTTCACTTTTCAAGATGCAATTCGAAGTTTAGAAAATGAGAAGTGGAAGTGGGCTATGGAGGAAGAAATGTTGTATCTCGAGAAGAATCAAACTTGGAAGGTGACGCAACTACCAAAAGGCAAAAGGGCGATAGGA